TTTTTTTTTTCCTTCACTTACCTTCGGTGCGGGAGAGCAGCGGCGAGTCAGCGCTGGTCCGGTGGGAGGAGCTCCAGGTGGGGGTCCTAATTTAGCTGGCCGGCGACTGCCTGAGGATCTCGACGCGCGCGGCACCTCCGGCCAGCTAAATTAGGACCCCCACCTGGAGCTCCTCCCACCGGACCAGCGCTGACTCGCCGCTGCTCTCCCGCACCGAAGGTAAGTGAAGGAAAAAAAAAAAACGGGGGCACAAGTACTTGTCAAAATGCCCTGTTTTTTCCGCCCTCACCTTGCAGCGCCCTGAGGCGGCCGCCTGACTTGCCTTGCGGTAGCGCCGGGCCTGCGCATACGATTATCGTAAGGTGTATGGGCACCATTACAGCAAGCGCTAAAACAGTCTACAGATGGATATGAAGCAGTGCCACTTGGCCACTAGGTGGAGTTCAAGGAAAAAAAACCTGGAAATCCTATGCTGGAGGCATGACAGGATACAAAGACATTGTAGACATTTGTTCTCTTCCAGCCTTGTGGTAACGGTTTGGTGAAGGCCCTTTTATGTCCCCCCCCATGACTGTCCCCTGTTGTCACGTACCTTGGTGGAGTGTGAATTGACGAGGGCGGCCGTCCCTTGCTGCTCCAGTCCCAGAGCGCCTGGATGGCAGAACCGGCGTGCAGGGACACGGAGTGGCATGAGTGCCAGGAGAGGTCACCGTGCCTGAGACGGTAAGTCTCGGCAATGCTGATGAATCCCAAGCAGGAAGCAAGCACAGGAGAGGAACACCAGTGAGCAGAGTTCCAGAAGAGCCATAGGCATATACAAGGAGGGTTGCCACCTTTTCTTCAGCCAAAAAAAAACCCCGAACACTCTAGTGCTGCATGACAGTTTTTCCTTGGAGAAAATAAAAGAGAGAGCGAGGAGAGACAGCCAGGAGAGAGAGAGGAGAGACAGCCAGGAGAGAGAGCGAGGAGAGACAGCCAGGAGAGAGAGCAAGGAGAGACAGCCAGGAGAGAGGGCGAGGAGAGACAGCCAGGAGAGAGGGCGAGGAGAGACAGCCAGGAGAGAGGGCGAGGAGAGACAGCCAGGAGAGAGAGCGAGGAGAGACAGCCAGGAGAGAGAGCAAGGAGAGACAGCCAGGAGAGAAAGTGAGGAGAGACAGCCGGGAGAGAGCGAGGAGCGACAGCCAGGAGAGAGAGTGAGGAGAGACAGCCAGGAGAGAGAGTGAGGAGAGACAGCCAGGGGAGAGAGCCAGGAGAGACAGCCAAGAGAGACAGTTAGGGGAGAGAATGAGGAGAGAGAGCCAGGAGAGACAACCAGGGGAGAGAGCAAAGAGAGACAGCGAGGAGAGACAGCCAGGAGAGAGAGTGAGGAGAGACAGCCAGGAGAGAGAGGGAGGAGAGACAGCCAGGAGAGAGAGTGAGGAGAGACAGCCAGGGGAGAGAGTGAGGAGAGACAGCCAGGGGAAAGAGTGAGGAGGCACACCCAGGGGAGAGAGACAGGAGAGACAGCCAGGGGAAAGAGTGAGGAGAGACAGCCAGGAGAGTGTTTCCTTCAAGACTTATCTGTACCCTGTGTTTCAGACACCTCTTTGCTCCCCGAGTCCCAGCGTCCCTCCATGTCCTGTGCCTCCTCCATGCACTCAAGTTGGAACACCAGGACCCCGTGGTTGCCCCCGTCCACCTGACATCATGACATCGTGTCCGGGTTTCAGCTGGCCTGAATCCCAGACACAGCACATACAGGACTCAAATCCCGGACAGGGGACAACCCTAATTACAAGCCACTTTGGCAACACTCGGACAGAGCAGTACCGGGCAGCAGGCGGGAGCGTACTCCATATTGATGGCCATGGTTTTTGGAATGGAATGTGCCACAAATTCAAAGCAATGATGGTCAGGTGAACACTCATCCAGGACCCCCTGAGCCACCTCTGTTGTCAGGAAAATGGGTATGATCATCCTTTCTGGAACTGGGAACAGTCTGTGGCGTGAAACAAATGTAACACCTAACCTGGTGACTCGTCATTCTGGATAGAAGTTTTCTTTACAATGGGTATGCAGAAGTAGGAGGATAGGAATGGGAAAGTAGATCGATACTTCAACCATAACATTCTTTGCATCCACCTGTTACTAGCGAAACACATGGGGGGGGTGGTCATATTAGTTCTAGCAGTGCGGGTTCCTTCCCGGGTTTTAGAGGCAGAGGTAGCAGATTAACCCACCAAGCTGTGGGTTCAAATCGCATCCATTAATAAGTTCTAAGAGAACTTTCAGGTATGGTTGCTGAACGACGCGTTACACCGCGGCATCCCACGCTTTGCATTGCACTTGGTGATGTGCGGCTTGGATGCAGCTGCTCGGCCATGGAAACCCATTCCATGACGCTCTCTACGCACTGTTGTTGTGCCAATCTGACGGCCACACGGAGTTTGGAGGTCTGTAGCTATTGACTCTGCAGACAGTCGGCGACTTCTGCGCACTGTGCGCTTCACCTGTTGGGTAAAATGTAGTCAGCAGGACAGGAAGTGAGGGCAAAACCCACCAAAGGAGCCCCGGACAGCAGTAAAACCCTGACAGAGGTTCTAACTCTTCCCCAATTCATCGAAAATTAAGAAAAAAAAAGTTTTAGCTGTAAATGCACTTTAATTTGTGGTCCTTCAACAGCCGACGTCCCAGTCCTTCGATCTTCAGAGCTGGAATTGGGGTGTGTACTTCTTCCACTGCCCGTGCCCCATCATCATGACATGGATGCTGGCTCTGAAGAGAGGGCGGCAGTAAGAGCAGTTAGAGCGGCTTCAGCAGACCGCACATCACAACAGAAAACAATAGAGAGAGCAGCAGTGACCGGTCTTTATTACAGGAGGGGGCGGAGACAAGACCAGTCACCCTGCACAAGGAGAGAGAGAGCAGCAGTGAGCGGTCTTTATTTCAGGAGGGGGGCGGAGACAAGACCAGTCACCCTCCCCAAGTAGAGAGAGAGCACAGCAGTGACCGGTCTTTATTACAGGAGGGGGAGGAGACAAGACCAGTCACCCTGCACAAGGAGAGAGAGAGAGAAGCAGTGACCGGTCTTTATTACAGGAGGGGGCGGAGACAAGACTAGTCAACGTGCACAAGGAGAGAGAGAGCAGCAGTGAGCGGTCTTTATTACAGGAGGGGGCGGAGACAAGACCAGTCACCTTGCACAAGTAGAGAGCGCAGCAGTGACCGGTCTTTATTTCAGGAGGGGGGCGGAGACAAGACCAGTCACCCTGCACAAGTAGAGAGAGAGAGCAGCAGTGACCGGTCTTTATTTCAGGAGGGGGGCGGAGACAAGACCAGCCACCCTGCACAAGGAGAGAGAGAGAGCAGCAGTGACCGGTCTTTAATACAGGAAGGGGCGGAGACAAGACCAGTCACCCTGCACAAGGAGAGAGAGAGAGCAGCAGTGACCGGTCTTTAATACAGGAAGGGGCGGAGACAAGACCAGTCACCCTGCACAAGGAGAGAGAGAGAGCAGCAGTGACCGGTCTTTAATACAGTAGGGGGCGGAGACAAGACCAGTCACCCTGCTCAAGGACAGGGAGCAGCAGTGAGCGGTCTTTATTACAGGAAGTTCCAAGTCTCACGCTGCTCAGATCTGGAAGAAATACACAAAGCTCACCGAGATTCAAGGAGGAATAGTCGCGGATCTTGGATTTAGACAACGTGTGCCTATCCCAGAGTTCAGCTTTAACCCGGCCGGAGTTCTTCTCTAAAACTACTTTGCACTTGACTTTAGCTGCCCGCGGATCTTGTCAAGCCATGAAATGTGTTTCCTGAACTGTAACTAAATTACCCCCCCCAGAATGTCCTGCGGCAACCAACGGAAGGAAACCAAATCATTAAATAAGAAATGCAATGATCACGATATGTATAACTTGGGCCTCGGTTGTTGTGCCCCCTCTGACCCTTCCCCCCTAGGCAGCAGCCCACTACGACCATCATTCCAGCTCTGTCTTTGTACATAACGATAACTACGTGACGTGTTTTACTTACAAAGTATCTTCTGATCTGTTTTTCGCAGGAGGAGATGAAGATCCGGAAGTTATTCTTGCTGCACACCGGCCTGTCTACATTCATATTCCTATTTATAGTGAAAAGAATACTGAGTCCCTCCGTCATGAGTCAGGACGCCTATGAGCCTCTGTTTCATCCTCAGCGGCAGTCGGCGACTCTCCAAGATGAGGCTTTCTCTTATCACCTCAATTTGTCATTGTTCCTGTCGGAGTACCCCCACCTGCAGACCGATCGCTGCTCGGTCCTCCTTACACCGGAGCTGACTCGGGACCCCCCATTACCCCTACTACTGCTGGCAGTCAAGTCCAAACCACAGTCCACCGGCAGGAGAAGTGTACTAAGGCAGACGTGGGCCAGGCAAAGGGTGGTCGAGGGCTACATGGTGAGGCCGGTCTTCCTGATGGCTCAGACCAATAGTTCGGGGTTCATGAAGCTAGTGGAGGAGGAGAGCAAGGAGTACAATGATATATTGCAGTGGGACTTTACCGAGGGGCATCACAACCTGTCGCTGAAGGAGAGGTGCTTCCTGGAGTGGCTGCACTTCAACGTACCCCACGTACGCTATGTGTTCAAAGGTAAGTCAAAGCCACGATGTGTTTGCCACTAACATCGGGGGGGGGGTTCAAAAAAATGCGATGCCAAGTTTGCATAGCAAATTTATACACTAAAATGATACAAAAATGGGGCTAGTGGGCCACCCGGTACTATAAGACAATATATAGATAGCAGGGACGTGCGGTCAGTGGAGGCGGAGCCTCACCTAGAATTATGGAGGAAAAGGCTGTCGGCTTCATGTTTGAAGCCGACAGCTTTTTCTCCATTCATCGGCATCTAACAGGTTACACAGCAGGGAAATCCTACCCCCCGCCCCCCTCCCCGCTGTGTAACCTGTCATGGACGGAGCGCCTCAGCAGTGAGGAGCAAGTAAGGGACAGGCAGGCTCCTCCCTTCCTCCTTTACACTAGCTTGGGGACGGGTTGGTGGTGGGGCTTCGGCCGGTGGGTCGGGACTTTGGGTGACGGGTGGGGCATC